TCATGAAATTAGTATCCAGCTCTAAACCTTTCAGTTCATTTACCTCTTTCTTTTTAATGACTGACTGCTCCCTTGTTGTTCTTTATTTTTTTGCTTGTTATTGTCCATCTTCATAAGAAGTTCTTTTGCCTTTTGGCTTCTCCTCGTACCCTTTGAAATCAACTCCAAATTCGGTATCAACACAATGATGTCTAGTTGAATTCAAATAAGCGTGCTTAGTGTTTAAGCATTTTGTTCTGTTGGTAATTGAATCTTCAATGGAGTTGCATCTTCTGCTACAATGTTGGTGTTCTCTCCTTGCAGCTTCAATTGTATACTCTTCAGTTCCCCTCTCTCGACAACTGTTGACTCTACAGCCACCAAGCTCTCCTTGGTTTGTTCGAACTGGAAAATTTGTTGTTCTTCCTTATCCTGAGTTCCCAATTTCTCAAAGCTTATTGTGTGTACTGGGTTGATAAGTTTGCAATTATCTCGATGTTTACTATGTCCATCTCCTGGGCTTCAGAATTAGAATAACTTCTAATGACAGATTTGCTCAGATCTCCTTTGTATGAAGATTCCAGAGTAATAATGACAGATTTGCTCAGATCTCGAATGGAAATAAAGCTGACATATCTACCATTCTCATGGTATTTAAGAGTGCAACAAAATTCTGAGAAGTGGTCCTTTAATTTCCATTTCTGAACTACTTTTCCCTGTTACTTTAATGCTTCAATAAATACTGAAACTAAGCACTTCAAGACTTTAATGCTAATCTTCACCCTCATTAAATTCCGACTTCGCTTGATCCATTCATACTAGGTTTCTCCGCACCGTATTTACACCTAATGATTTTGTAATATTTGAATCCTAAATTGTAGAATATACTTTTCCCCAATTGAAAAAGTTTCGGTCATAAGTTGCCGGAGTAGGCCCCAGACAGAGTGAAATCGACTTTAGGTTTTAAGTTGACTTGCCTTGATAGCCGTGCCTGAGAGCATTTTTATAGTTCTATCATTTGTCCTTTTTAAACTATTGTACATATATTATGGTGCCTTCTTCCTTTTCTAAGAATGAAATAACTCAAATTGTTACAACTTTACCATTCTCAAAAAAAAAAAAAAACTCAAATTGTCCATTTCTCATATTCATTGAGCCATAATCAAGCCGGCGATAATCTCTTCTAGCTTTTATTATTACGTCCACATTGTTTGATCTACATGAATTGCCACCAATCTAGTATCCAATTCAATGTTAATAGATATTGCTCTACTCTTGGCTCTTGCCCATCCTGTCATTAGGAGTGCATAACCAATTTTAAAGCCTATTTTTTCTCTAAATTTATCATCACTACGTACACAAATATTTTGCCTTAAAAAAAGGGCCGCTTAATGTAGACTCGTAGAGTACTAAGTAGGTAACCCTTGCTCAATAGAAGTATTCAACAGAAATTTTCATTCATAGGTGATTCAATAATTTCAACTTCTATCTTATATACCCCATTAGATATATCTATATGTTCTGGTCTTAAAAATAACTAATATGCAAGAAAATATGATGGTACTTCCGTCAATAATGCCAAAATTGTGGGGGTATATTTTCTTACAATTAATGCTAAAGAAGATAAACTTTTGGTGAAGCCATTAGACCATTCCTGTTATTGTATTACTTGACCACATTGCTAAAGACCATTCAATATAAAAACTACCTTGTGCAAAAGAATTTGATTTTAAATTCTGTCAGCCTTAAAACTAAGACTACACATAATCACAATAAATGGAAGTTTGATTATGCAAGACTAAAAACTGTTTTTTCAGATATGAGAGGACTCATTATGTTCCAAAATCTTATTTACTAACACTCAATTAAATAAAAGGACAATAACAGGTTATAGCTTACTTGTGTGATGTGTCATAATATTATAGTAATAGTACAACATGATCTTATAAATTGAAAAGTGATTATGAGTCATGAACGACCGTACTAAGCTAGTTGAGGAGTATTTTGGCCAGTTCCTGATTCATATTCTCGCAAGTTTCATCCATTTCTCATAATATTTGCAAAGGACTTCTTTTCGTGTGTAAAATTTTCTACCCTCTATGGAACAAAAGGAACCAAACTTTAAAAGATTGAGCCACATAACCTGTCAAACAGACAACAACCTTTGTTCAAGCTTTTATTCTTGCATCCATGTACTTGTGATATACCTTGATTAGCCACCATTCCAGCTTTCCATTTCAGTGCTAATATATATTGCTCTACTTTTGCCCATCATGGCATTGGGGTTAGTGCATAAACAATTTTAAAGTCTATTTTTTCTCTCAATTCATCATAACTATGTAGACATTTCGCTTCAAATAAACTACAAAAGGCTTAATATAGAGTACTATAACCTTTGCTGTGAGAAATCCTAAAAGTCAGTAGTGCACACTGATTTAAGAAATCTTCTAGAGAAATTAAATAAGATAAAAATGAATCTCAGTACCATGTCATCTGCATGACCATCGTCACGGTGTAGAGACACAGTGATAGCACTTAAATCAGCAACAGCTCTACTACCGCCGTCATTGAGATTAAAGTGCTTTGTCATTTCTTCTTGTCGAGGCCACAATAATAGCATCATTACTGGAACAGAGTTCAGTTATGTGACATATTTAAATGCCCTTTAAGCTGCCCTATAAAGAAGGAATGATGTCCACTTTGGGACCTAGGACTCCATTGTGTGTGTATGGATATTTTTTAATTGATTATATCTCTAAGAGATATAAAAGATTTATCAAATCCCAATATATATAAAATTATTTAACAAATAAAATTTCATTTTAAGTTGCCTGAAAATGATGGAATGAAATCAACATTAGCTAACAGGATTCAAAAAGACTTCATCGTACATGGAGCAGTTGTTTCAACTGCATATCTATAATTTAAAAGTCTATAATTAAATTTTAATTCACAGCTACTTCCTTTTATCAATGTTCCAATTTTATTTTTTTAAAATTACTTGAAATTGAATCCACGGTCTTCATGGTTATTTTGCAGTAGATTTTTTTCTACCATCAGAACATCTGCGATTTCTTTTAGTCCCTAACATACAGGTTTCTAACCAAGCTAAGAGAACTCTTAGTGACGGCTAGACTAATGTAAGTGAAACAATAATTGTTAAGTGTGAATTCCAAGTTCCAATAGTTAATACGACAGATAGGATGATTGTTTCCATTGTGTTATGTTATTACTTAAAACCATATTACGGGAGAATGTTGGTCTTTTAGGACAACTTCCTTGTGTGATTTTTGGTTCTAAAAGTATTCTCCTATTGAAATTGGAAAATGGGGCCTGTGGCTGCAAGTGTAGCTAGGCTTTTCCTTTCTGTTTTGGACGCTAGGAGTTTCACAAGTTAATAGTTTATTCCATGCATGTTTTACATTCTTTTTCTACTATAGAATCTATCCATCTTGTGAGGAGAGACCAGTGGAGAAGTAAAGGGAGGGGAAGAAAGACCTGCATATGGTGTTTAGTAATGTAGAGTAGACTCACGACAGTCCCAAGAGAGGTCCTATGGGGATGTCTTCAGGCTAGACATGATGGAGCCAAGACCCAAGTAAGCATAGTGGGAGGAGACGCAAAACACTTCTCGGTCAAGATGGGGTTGCACTAGGAATTAACACTTGACCATGTTATTTTGCCTTGGTGATGATGAATTGATGCACCATGTCCAAGGTGAGGTGCCATGGTCTGTTATTTGCAAATGATATAGTACTGATTGATAAGATTTACGGTGGAGTTAATGCTACGTTAGAGGTTTGGAGACAAACCATGAAGTCTATAGGGTTCAGGTTGAGTAGGACCAAAACAAAATACTTAGTGCAAGTTCAGTGATGCATTTGGTGAGGTAGGTGTAGAAGTAAGTTTTTATTCATAGGCCATCCCCAAGAAAGCAAGTTTCAAGTATCTTGGGTCTTTAATCCAAGGAAATTGGGAGATGATGATGATGCCACACATATTGGTGCGCGATGGATGAAATGGAGGCTCGTCCCCGAGTCATGTGATAAAAAGATTCCACCAAATCTTAAGGGTAAGTTCTATAGAGTGATGATTAAACCAACTTTGTTATATGGAGCTAAGTTTTAGCCAGTCGACAACTCACATGTTTAGAAAATGCAAGCTGCAGAAATGAGGATGTTGAGATGGATGTGTAGTTATACTAAGAGATATAACATTAAGAATGATAATATTTAGGATAGAGTGGGGATGATTTATGTGGTAGACAAGATGAGGGAGACGAGATAGATGGTTTGGACATGTGAAGAAGATATGCGAAGATGCTCCAATAAGGAGGTGTGGGAGGTTGGGGATATATTGAGTATGAAGAGAGGTAGAAGTAAGTCAAAAAGTGAGGTGATTATACCGTATATGATGTAGCTTCAACTTATCGTGGACATGTCCTTTTAGATAGGAGGGTATGGAGGTAACAGATTAGGATATAAGGTTAGTAGGTAGTTGAGCTATGACTTGCTTTTTACGGTGGGTTTAGGCTTCGTGGGAGTGCTGTGTCTGTCGTAGTATTAGCCTTGTGCATGTAATTTCTTTTACTAACAATATTATTTGTTGCTGTTATTTTTTCTTTTCCTTGGATGCTCTGTACTGCTTTCCTTGTTATTTGACATGTCGTTCTTCATTCTGGGATTTCCTTTTTTCGTGAATACTTTGATTTGTTGCACTTGTGCTGATGGTCTTTCGGAAACAACATAGAGGTAAGGTTTGCGTACATTCCAACCTTCCCAGACCCCACTGTGGGATTTTACTGGGTATGTTGTTGTTGACTCACTCTCATGTCTGTTTCTGCGTCTATTTGTTCTCCAAATTGGAAGGATAAATCTTCTTTTATAAGGAGATATAAAGGTTGAAGAGAAGAAAATGAAGGAGAGATAATCACACACAATCTATATTTGGTAGCCATAAAAAATTGAACCTTTTTTTGAGTTAGTATTGTGCATATACTGAAGTTGTAATTGGACTTGCAGGAAACCGAAAGCGAAGACGACCTTCTTGATGAAGATGAAGATGTGGAGGACAATGACCACGAATCTGAGGTTCCAGAACATGCTGATCCAGTAGGCCAAAAGATAGAAGCTTCACCAGCTCCTAAAGAAACTGAGAGACAGCTATCAAAGAAAGAGAGAAGGAAGAAGGAGCTTGCTGAATTGGACTCGCTTTTAGCTGATTTTGGGGTTGAACAGAAGGAGAAAGGTCCAGACGACTTACCTGGTAATTCTTCTTCTCATTTACTGATTACAGTGTTATCCTTCTAACTCCTCCCTTGGTAAATAGTGATCGAAGTTGGGTGATGAAATTGATGTCCTACCTCCTTAGGATTGATATCATATTCCTTTGCATTTTTATAGACTCTTTAAACATGTCTACTTTCTTTTCTTTTGTTAGCACTGGTTGGTCATCATGTAGTTGAGATGGCTAGCTTCATTCTATGGGTATCTGAAGGTGGATTTTCCTAAATGTTTCTCTTATAATTACAGATGTTGGCAATGAGAAGAAAGAGGGTCAGCCAGCAGAAGATGTGGAAAAGAAAAATGGTGGGGCTAAAGAGCCTAAAAGTGCTAAGAAGAAGAAAAAGAAGGATAAAGCATCCAAGGAGGTGAAGGAATCAGAGGATCAGCCAAACAGCGTAGGTGCAACTGTTCTACCAGAGGAAACTGGAGGAGCTGAGCAAGTAGAAGATGCATCTACGGTGGATATGAAGGAGAGGCTGAAAAGGGTGGCATCGGCAAAGAAAAAGAAATCTGGCAAAGAGACAGATGGTGCTGCAAGAGCTGCCGCAACAGAGGCTGCTGCAAGGAGTGCCAGGCTTGCTGCAGCAAAGAAGAAAGAGAAGAGCCATTACAACCAGCAGCCAATGCGGTAAATTCTACCCAGCTTGGAATGATTAGCGTCAATGGTCCGAGTTCCAAACAGTTTGGTACACCAAATCGTTGTTTTGCTGATGTAGAAAAACATTTGGGCTCTAAGTTTTGGTCTTTAGGGCACAAAAAAACTATGGACTAGTTCTTGGAGCTTAGATTAAAAGGTAAAGAGAAATGAGAAAAGTTTTACAAAAAAAATAATGTGTCTGGCTGGACAATTTTGCTGAATGTGAATGGTATTTGGAGATCTAGAGAGTTAAGTTTATGTGTAAAAGTAGCACATTGATGCTAGTGCCTATTGAACTAAGGTTTGGTGAATGAAATACAAGTAGAATTGTTTTTTTATTGGTTATGTGAGGCATGATCTCGCCTGTTTTTGTTGAGGCGATTGTGTGGACTCCGTATTCCCCCGGCTTATACCAGAAATTAGAGAAGGATGTGAGGTGAGTATACTATTCAGCATGTAACCTAAGTTGCACAGACTCTTCACTTTCTATGCAGCATTAATGTCGAATTCTCCAAAAATAGTTTTTGGAGAATATGACAAGCACTCGTTGATATTTTTGAAGAGTTAAGAGTAACATAGCCTACTGAATTAGTTGAGACGTGCACAAACTGTTCCTTTACCATCTTTGCCTCCTTTCCCTCTTCTTTTGCCACCACAGCCGCTAGCCTCGGTACCACTCTCTGCTTCTTGTAAATTGACCTAGATTTATTTTTAATGATTTGGCTGTCTCGATGGATCGCTAGAGACGACCAACGATTTTCAGATTTGGTCATGCTCCATCTCCTTGCACAGACAACTTCGTCCTCGCCAAAGAAGACGGGATTGATTTGTGGTGGAGGACGGTGGGAGAAAGCTGAAGCTACAATGGTGTTGGGAGTTGGCTCATGATAGTGTCCAAATTATGGTGATGATTGACTTATATTCTTCAACAAGTCTTCTTCTTCTTTTTTGGTTTGCAACTCCATTGTGAATGTAATCTGTTGAGTGAACGTATACAATCTATTATGATTATATACAAAGAAATTAAGTAAATTCATATGATCTATTGTTGATTGTATCCAAAATTGTATTTGTTGGTACAACCATTAGAGTGATTAAATTCACTGTATTTCGTTATATGAGAAACAAAATATAGTTTGTTGAGTGACCGCATACAACCTATCATATGACTGTATGCGTTGGTGCAACGAAATTAAGTAAATTCACATGATTTATAATTATGCTTGTATCCATCAAGATTGTATATATTAATATTTCGAGAAAATGGTCAAATGAACCCCCAATCTATTAGTCAATTCTCAACTACACACTTATATTTTACGGGGGTCCTATTACCTCCCTAAACATTTTAAAAGTGGAATATATTGCCCCTTAAAAGGTCACACCCAGATTTATGGTAAGCAGTGTGTTGCACGCGCGGTGCCACGTAACATATATGGTACTTTTTTTTTTATATAAAAATATAATTATTCTTTTTCTTTATTCTATTTCCCTTCTATGTTTTTTTCTTTTCTTGTTCAGCCGATTTCTTCTTTTCTTTTTCCTTTTTCTATCCTTTTCTTTGACTAAAAATTTTCTGCCATTGAAGTGGAAACTCCAAGTTCCATCTGTAACCTCAAAAAATTTAGTTTCTTAATCTAAGTTCCCAATTTTTCTTATACAGCTATTTCAACATGCAATTGGACCTTTTTCAAAATTAATTTGTGGGTCTCATACCATTGGATATTCATCGGCTTCAAAAACTTCAATATCTTGATTTTGGGGAACAATTTTATCAGAGATATCCGTCGCCAACCGAAAATTTGACGGAGCTATAGATCTTATATATGCATATGAACTTTATTTTTTCGGTAAAACACAATAACATAGCCAATCTTGAATATCTAGGTTTGGTATTTAATGGGTTTTCTCTGATGAGAATATTGTTGGAGTTTGAAAAGATTAAAAAAAAAGAATGAAATATGAATTGAATTGGTGAAGTCCTTAAAAGTTTACCAACTATCGAAGTCTTGAGCATATTGATTTGGCTTACAATAATCTAAAAGGAGAAATTTTATTTGGGTTGTTCATGTTAAAGAATTTGATGTTCATATACTTGTATAGTAATCAACTTTTGGATCTGATTCGGATCTGGATTTCTTCAATTTTGTGTGTTGTTGTAGTTGAAGTAGTAAAAAATTAATTGTAAAAAATACTAATTTTGACCTTGATGCTTTGTTAATTTTATTTACTCAACTAAGTTTTCTCTATATTGTTCAATTTCATGGTGTGCTTGAACTTATGAACACTTGGCTATGGGAAAGTGTTTATTTTTAATTTGATCCAGTGTTTTTCTAATTTTTGCAAGTGAAGTCAATTTCTTTTGAGAAAAAGAAGAAGGAGTTTGCGTCACTAATAACAATTATTAATAGTGAGATAATTTCATACTCTTTTTTTTTCTTTAGGAAACTTAAATCTGGCGGAGTACGGAAGAAATAGAGAAAGAAGAGAGAGAAAGTAAAATGAAAAACATAAATAGAGTAAAAGTAAAGTAAAATGAAAAACATAAAAGATCAGAAAATTAATAAGAAAGTTTGCCTCTCACTTTCTTTAAGAAAGTGAATTGCATTTTCTTTGCCAACTCAGCATTAGGGAGCAAATAATTCTACTATAAAATAGTTCAAGGGGATAATAAGACCCTCCTAAAATATAAGTGTGTAGTTGAGAATCGACTAATAAATTTGGGGGTCATTTGACCATTTTCTCTTAATACTTCCATTAGAGCGAATAAATATAAGTGATACAAAATGATAATAATTAATATGTATTAATACATCCATTAGAGCGAATAAATTTAACCGATACAGAACGGTATCAATTGATATAGTAAAGAGAAAGAATACAAGTGAAATTATGCAAATAAATAAGAAAGCGAAATAAATCCCCTTCATTTATTACAGTCGATTCTATTTATTTCCTTTAGTCAAACAATAAGAGGAAGCGCTTGAGCGAAAGGAGAAGACACAAAAAGAAAAGATGCATCTATCCTTAGAGATGCAAGAGCTTGCCTTAGCACAAACCCTAGAGATGCAGGAGCTTGCCTTAGGACAAAAACTGTTGATATTCAAATGGCGTATGGAGCTGCTTAATTATCCTAAGACTTCAACCCCATCTTACATCAAAGTAAGTTTAGCTGGATCGAGAGAATCTGGGTAGGCATGACCGGAAGAAGAGGCAATTCCATCTCTGTCTCTGTTCGTGTAAAGTCATGGCCTAACCTAATTGGTGAATGAGCCTACAAATGGTAACCGCTTTGTATTTGTCATCTCTTTAAAAAAACTGAAAGACTAGAAATAATATTTTAAAATTTTCGTAATTCTCAATCATCTATCTTCTTTCTTTCGATACACTATTGTCCATATAAATATTGAATATAAGTGATTCAAAAATCCTTAGTAATTATTTAAACTATAGAGGTAGATATCTAAGCCATAGACCATAGTCAATTATGAGAATTTGTACATAAAATTCGTGTATGTTTATAAAATATAATTAGTGGAGCAAATCACAATAGGCCAGAACTATATAACCCTCTATTTCTTCTCTCTCACTCGTGTTATCTCCCCATTTATCTATCAAGAACTTCCCCAAACCCTAAAAAAATTATTTGAACAAATCCATTCCAACGACTGTTCTCCAATTTCTACTAGTTTATTTTTCTTTGTTTACTTGAGTAGAACGAACGAAAATTGAAGAGGATTTATTGGGTTTACTTGGTTGAAATGATGGGGAGTAACAGAAGGGAAGAAGGGTCTGTGATGGTGAAAAATTCCAATGTATTTGCGGCGCTTGATACTTTGAGGAAGAAGAAGAAATCTGATAAGGAGAAGAGTAAAGGGTCATCGAAAAAAGAACAGGAGCCGGAAGTTTTGTGGGCTCCGGCGCCGTTGACGGTGAAATCTTGGGCAGATGTTGATGACGAAGATGATGACGATTACTACGCCACCACTGCTCCTCTTCAGTCTTTTGTGGGTTCCATTGAATCTGGAAAAAAACCTGAACCTGTTGAGGTATTGTTCTGTTCTTTGGATATGAATTTTTTTGGATTTTTAGGTTAGGGATATAAGTGTGGTATATTGTATTTTTAACTTCTCTGATAATTGAAAAAATTCAATGTTATATTTGAGAAGTGATTGAAGAATCCACAAGCAAATACAGTGTTATGTCTTGTTTAGTCAGTTAAATTACTGTGTTTTCAACCCTGAACTAGTTGTGGTATGCTCTTTTAGGACCTTTCGAATTCCAATAGGAAGTCATTTGATTTCCAAGCAAGTTAGTGTTTCTCTAACAGTTCTAGTTCTATCTCGAACTTGTTCCTACACTAACATAGTCCTTTATTTCAATTTGTTTGTCTGGTTTTGACTTTTACATGGAGTTTAAGAAAGTGGACAAAAATCTTGGGATCTTAGACTAAACAAAATGTCCTTTAGTCTTGTGGTCCTTAAACATGTATGTGGAAAGTTGAAATAAAGAGTTGTCAAAAAGGGAAAAAGACATTCTTTTTTAAATGGAGGGAGTACAAGTTATGGAACGGCGCGAAATAATATCCGGGGCGGCAGATTCAATGAAGTAAGTTAAATGTCATAAAGAAGTTGCAGAGATTATGAAAGAAATATTATAAGACTAAGGAGCTGGCGAATACCAGGGGATAGATTAACACCAACTATAAAGGTTAACCAAACATCTAGCTTTTAGGGAACACTTAGGAGTTGAAATTACATCAAAACATCTGTGGTTTCCTTCAGTCCCTAGCATACAAGTTTCTAGCCAAGCTAAGAGAACTCTTGGCAAAGGCCCGTCTTAGTGTAAGTGAAACAATAACAATTAAACCTTAATTCCAAGTTCCAATAGTTGGTACTGCCTATAGGATGATTGTTTCCATTGCTTTGAGGTGTTTGTTTAAGTCACATTGTGGGAGAATGTTGGGCTTTTAAGACGACTTCCTTATTTGATTTTTGGTTCTAAAAATGTTCTCCTTTTTTTAAATTGGAATGTTTGGTTGGGGCCTGTGGCTGCAAGCGTAGCTAGTGTTTCCTTTCTCTTTGGACACCCGGACTTTTACAAGTTAATAGTTTCTTCCATGCATATTTTATTCCTTATGTCTGTTCATTTTGCTTAATGATTTATTGTTCTGTTGACTCCCTACTCTCATGTCTATGTTTTCTGTGCTGTTTGTTCTTCAAAATTTAGGGATTAATTTTCTTTCACGAGGGAATAGAAAGTTCAAAAAGAAGGAAAAGGAAGTAAATAACACAAATTATTGCAATATTTGGCAGCCATAAAAGTTGGAACGTTTATT